CGGAGCTCCGAATCGGAGCTCAGCGGGGGAGGACAGCGATCCCCGAAGTCGATTTTTGGGCCTGGGCGGTCAGCGATGGAGAATCTGACGGCGACAGACCGAGTGACCGACGGCGACAGGTGCGGAGTGCGGACCAGAGGAGAGGGCTCAGAACTCAGAAGGGGGCGGCCAGATCTGGATCTTTTTGAGAAGGTCGGCTGTGTTTTTAAAGTAGGGTTTTTGACGGACGGTTGAGATTAAGGGTTGTATGAAATAAACGGTCTAAATTTGCTCTCCCTATATATATAAATATAAAGGAAAAAAATTTAGGGGCCCCCCAAGATTGGGGGCCCTGTGCAACCGATCATGCTGTGCTCCTTCAGAGCCGGCTCTGTCCGTTGTAGATAAATGGAAGAGCCGAAGGCGAAATACTCGAAAATTTATTCAATTAGCTTTATCAATATTTCTTAAAAGATTAATTTATTAGAATTTTTTTAGTTTATTAGAATTGAGTAATGACAAAATATGTATATATTTAGAGATTATGTATATATTTAGAAAATAGTGATTTGTATTAATTAGGTCTTATTAGGCTCCTCAATCTTAGCCTAATATCACGTGTAATAATTAGGTCTTAGCCTAATATCACGTGTATTAATAAGGTCTTATTAGGCCCCATCTTCTTCTTCTCCCTTCCTAGCCCTATCCGTGGACAACTCCTTTTCCCAGCAACCCAGCTCGCCAACTGGGCCCATTACCTCCCTGCCCAACATGCCAGTTAGCTCCCAATCAACTTCCTCTTCTCCACAGCCGGCCCAGTCCGCCTCTTCCACTACAGCACCATCTTCTTCCACCTTGGGCCAGTCAGCTCTCAGGCCACATTCTGACCAAACACAACATCTCCCTCTTCCTCCCATTTTTCAGCCCACATCGAGTTCAGAAACCAAACCCGTTACGAGGAGCCAACATGGTATTTTTGAACCAAATCAAAAATATCATGGACTTCTTACTCGTGTCAAAAAATCTCCTCTTCCTCGTGACCCCGTGTCTGCACTCAAAGACCCGAATTGGAAAATGGCTATGGATGATGAATATAATGCTCTCATTACAAATAAGGCGTGGGATTTAGTACCACGTCCACCTGATGTTAATGTTATTCGGTCTATGTGGATTTTCAGACATAAAGAAAAATCTGACGGTTCTTTTGAGAGGCATAAAGCCCGACTTGTAGGTGATGGTGCAGGTCAACAGGTTGGCGTAGATTGTGGAGAAACTTTTAGCCCGGTAGTTAAACCGGCGACTATTCGCACAGTACTCAGTCTTGCTCTCTCTATGGCTTGGCTCATTCATCAGCTGGATGTTAAAAATGCCTTTTTACATGGTGAACTCAAAGAAACAGTGTACATGCCTCAGCCCTTGGGTTTTAAGGACCCGGATCGTCCTAATCATGTGTGTCTTTTGCGTAAATCGTTATATGGGCTCAAGCAAGCCCCTAGAGCCTGGTACAAACGATTTGCTGATTATGTTTCTTCTATTGGGTTTTCTCAGAGCAAGTCAGACAACTCTCTCTTCATCTACCGGAAAGGTACTCATATGGCTTACATTCTACTTTATGTGGATGATATCATCCTCACTACTTCTTCTGATGATCTTCGCAAGTCTATCATGTCACTTCTCAGCTCCAAATTTGCTATGAAAGACTTGGGCCCACTGAGTTACTTCTTGGGTATCGCCGTCAATCGACATGCCGGTGGTCTATTTTTGTCTCAGAAAAAGTATGCAGAAGAAATTATTGAACGTGCTGGCATGTCATCTTGTAAGCCTTGTCCTACTCCGGTTGATACTAAACCGAAGCTTAGTGCTAAAACTAGCACTCCATATGAGGATCCCTCTCACTATCGCAGCCTTGCAGGAGCTCTCCAGTATCTTACCTTCACGAGGCCTGACATCTCTTATGCGGTACAACAGATCTGTTTATTTATGCATAATCCGATGGATGATCATATGCATGCTCTCAGGCGCATCCTGCGCTACATTCAGGGTACACTCCATTATGGATTGCATCTTTATCCTTCATCGACTACTTCTTTGCTTTCTTATACAGATGCAGATTGGGGTGGTTGCCCAGATACCAGGAGATCTACCTCTGGTTATTGTGTGTTTCTTGGTGATAACCTACTCTCCTGGTCTTCTAAACGCCAAGCCACATTATCTCGATCTAGTGCCGAGGCCGAATACCGAGGTATTGCCAATGTGATTTCTGAGTCATGTTGGCTACGCAATCTTCTTCTGGAGTTACATTGTCCTATACATAAGGCTACATTAGTCTACTACGATAATGTTAGTGCGGTATATCTTTCCGGGAATCCAGTTCAGCATCAACGCACTAAACACATCGAGATGGATATTCACTTTGTTCGTGAGAAAGTTGCTCGTGGACAAGTACGCGTCCTACATGTCCCATCGCGCTATCAGATTGCAGATATTTTCACAAAAGGTCTTCCTTTGGTGTTATTTCAGGATTTCAGGGACAGTCTTAGCGTACGACAACCTCCCGCTTCGACTGTGGGGGTGTGATAGAATATGTATATATTTAGAGAATATGTATATATTTAGAAAATAGTGTTTTGTATTAATTAGGTCTTATTAGGCTCCTCAATCTTAGCCTAATATCACGTGTATTAATTAGGCCTTAGCCTAATATCACATGTATTAATAAGGTCTTATTAGGCTCCTCAATCTTAGCCTAATATCCCGTAGCAATTCATGTATATAATGGACCTTTGTCAATCAATGAAAATCACGGAATTATTTTTCTTTAAGTAATTAATTGCTTCTTATTTAATAAATGTAGAATAACGAAAACGGGATAGAAGTTAGGGAATTTCAAAAAGAATTCATTCCTACAAAATAGGAAATAAAATAAAATTATACATAAAAAATTAATTGACTAATAATACTTATATACTTAATTAATTGATTTAAACATTATTGTGTTGTTCAAGGAATTCAAAGTTAAAGTTTTGTGATGATTATTAATTAGGGCATACTTAGAAAATATATCAAAATTTACATGCTTAGATATCCTATTTATTATTCTCCAAAATTTTCATTACATTAATTTTCTCTTTAACAACTTTCATGTTCGGGTTATATTCTCTAAACTTTTAGGTTTGAACCTGAAGTACATATAGAATTTCCTACTTTCCAATGTAGATAAATGGGAGAGCCGAAGACGAAATACTCGGAAATTTATTCAACTAGCTTTATCAATATTGCCTAAAAGATTAATTCATTATAATTTCTTTATTTTATTAGAATCGAGTAACTAATTACTTTTTATTTATAAAGTAGAATAATAAAAACAGGATAGAATTTAGAGAATTTCAAAAAGAATTCATTACTACAGAATAGGAAATGAAATAAAATTATACATAAAAAATTAATTGACTAATGATTCTTAATTAATTAATTAATTGAATTAATCATTATTGTGTTGTTCAAGGAATTCAAATTAAAGCTTTGGGATGATTTTTAATTAGGGCACGCTTAGAAAATATATCAAAATTTATATGCTTAGATATTACATTTATTATTCTCCAAAATGCTCACTACATTAATTTTCCCTAAAACAAATTTCATGTTCGGATTAATTCTCTAAACTTCTAGGTTGGAACCTCAAGCACATATAGAATTTTCTACGTTGCGTTGTAGATAATTGGAAGAGGCCAAGATGAAATACTCGGGAGCCCAAGTTGACTAACATTCTAGTTTTCTCTTTTCTCTTTCTTTTGGGCAACTTCTGCGTTGCTCAAACAATATTTAGAAATTATACCTTCAGTTTAAGGATGAGAATCGTGATTTTTAGAAGAACATTATGCATTTGCTGATATTTACTCTTGATAGTTTTGCATTTTAAAACCATGGGAATTATCAAACATGAAATTTGATTTAAAGATATTGTTCAGAAATTTTATTCATCATTTCCTTTGGATGGATTTTTATTTTTTAACCATGGAAGCGTCAAAAAGTATTCTTTTTTATTTTTCCTTTTTAAAATGTTTTGCTAACTATCTCACCTTATACCAAATGAATAAGAGAGTATGCTGATTTGTAGATTGGAACCTGACTCAAATGTCAATTTGTTTTTGTGAAACAGGGCTAGTCTCGGGAAGAGATTGGAACTATTCAAAATTATTGAAGGTTCCATGATCATATGATGTTGCTTGGCATTTAACTTGGTTGCGTCCCAATCATAGACGAAAAATGAATATCATCAGGAGATGAAAGTACAATGATACAATGGTTGAGATTGCTATGTTAATATATTATTCTAACAGAGATAACTAAATTTATAAACTATTTTCAAAGAAGAGTGTGTTTTGCACTTTAATCAGTCTATATAATTATGTTTTTTTAAATGCTATTCATGATTTTATAGTTCTACGAATTGTGATCAATCAAAACTAAAGATTTCAATTGGGAGTGGGACGTTTAGCTTTAAATTTGGAAATAGGATCTTTTCAAAATCGTTGATCTTTCTTATGTATATTATGTTGGGGAATAATTGGCGCCCAATTTAGAGTTGATGGGCTTTGAACAGAGGTTAATAATCAATTTTAACCCAAAGCTATAGCTTCTAGGTATTAACTTCAGCACCTATTTTAAACTCATTACTTTGTCTTGTGCTATGCAATATGGT